CTACTCAGAGAGCAAGGTGTCCATTGTTGCTCTGGTACCCGGGCGTGGGTGTGGAGCTGCTCAACAGGTGGTATTGAACCATGACGCCTACGCAACCAAAATTCGAAGAGAATCAGAGCAGCATCGTCACTGTCCACTCACCCTGCCGTAAAGGCCGCACACGATAATTATACTCTCTCTCTCCAACACACAGACACACCCAGACACACGCGCGCACACACACACGCACACACACACACTCACACACACACGGCAGTACCTTTGGCGCAATGGCCGGGGCGGCGAGTCGCGCGGGCCGGTCGTAGCCTCTGCGCGCTGCTTTTCCTCGTTCAAGCAGCTGCGCGACGAATTGTGTTCCACAAAAGACTTGAGGAAGATAGGCCGGGCGAGCAGGCCTCGCTCTGCGATAAGAGATACGCGCTGACTGCAACGCCCGCCGCCCGCTCGAACCTATCTCCGGCTCCGAGCGAGATTTTCCTCGTGCTGACGTCATATTTTTCTTCTTTTTATTCTCTCTTTTAATCATTCGTCGCGGTCGACTCGACGATGGCAGCAAATATATAAGAGCAGCGGACTGCGGGTGGTCGGCGCCCGCTCGGTCCACAAGAACACCACGTCCAACTCTTGGGCTCTCTGCGCTCGCGGGGCGGGGCAGGGAGAGTTTCCTGGCTGATGAAGGCTTGCCTCACCAGATCAACGAGGTCGAGGTCATCACACGTCTATTCATGCAGGGTTCTACAAGCCAAACTGTAGAGGAGTCGCCGAGAACGGCCTAGAGGGTGGTTCAAGTAAAGTGGGAGAAAACAGACTGCCGTCACGTTATCTATTCAGCCTCATCGAGATAACGAGTAGCGACCATTCCGTTTTGATATCGGTTACCTTGATTAGGAGGGTTTCGACTCGCCAAACAAATTTATTCTTGTAGAGGTCGCCGTCTGCTTGAAGAGAGACAGACAGAGGAAGGTAGAAAAAGGGTCGTCAATACGAAGTGCAGAAGTCCGTGTTCCAGATACAGTAGAGTACACGAGAACTTTACATTTATCTAGTTCTTCGAGGCGAACATTTTCGTTCTTCAGTTCTGCACTCACAAGGGAACCCTGCCACTTCCCGATTTTCATTCTACGGTACTTTGGGAAATTGTAGGTCTAGTTGTTTCATCGAAGGACACATCAAACATTTTGGCTTAAATTCATATTTAGGGGGCATTACCTATAGAAGAGTTATGATGAGAATTTAAAACAAGTAATTGAAGTAGCAGCTTTTTGAACGAATGCCCGAAATAACACCCAAATATGAATCGAAGCCAAATTTTTTGATGTGTCCTTGGATGACACATCTACACTACAATTTCCCAAAGTAAAACGAAAATAGGGAATCTACACTTGGTGGGGTTCCCTTGTCAGATTGGTAGAGTGCGCAGAGCGTGGTGAATTCCCTATTTGAAATCCGCTCGGCCTGCACATTCCAATCACTTCTCGGCCACTCACACTCCGCTGTGTAGCCAGCGTAACCGTAATAACTTTGTAGACGAATGGCAGTTTCCTTCAAATAACGTTTTTATTTCTCATATACAATTATTACCCCAATTTCTTTCAACTCGTTATGTGGTTCTGAAATAAACGAAGTTTCCAATAGAAATCTGGTTGTGGAGCATCTTGATTCGCTCTGTAACATCTTAAGTATGTACCCATCAATTTCATTTTTACCAACTTGTCAACGGCCAAGTGGAAATGGACTAGAACGGATTTGAATCCGATCCCCTAAAAGTGGACGTGATTTCAATGCCTGACTTCAGCAACCTAAAACATTTTTGTTTCCAGTCTTAAGCACACCTCGATCGGATGCACATTTAAATTTAAAGACTTACTGACTTGTACTTAGCGTAAATAAAAAAAACATTGTTTGTATCTAATTTGAAACAAGTTTGCATCTGATTATGACGCGGTAAAGAACACATCTTCGCTGGGTTCAAATTTGTCCTTTCCCGTATAATGTGAAGTTGATGAGTTTCCCTCAAAACCGTTCACGAAATCTCTTTTCGCGGTGTGCGCGGATGCGAGTGAGATTTCTCGACGCTGAGAACCGGCCAATTTCAAGTACTGGTTTTGATAACGAGCACCAGAGAGATAAGGCGACGTTAGTTACGTAATTAACCAGATCACCGCAAAAACAGGACGTTACGGACCGACCCTCGGCCCGAGTGACGCTGGGTCAGGCCACTGCCTTCGCCAACCTATCTATCATCTTATGAAATAGTTTCAAAATGCAGTTAAAGTGTTAGTTTACAAAATTATGTCGTGTTAGTTTACAATAAACTTCGTCAAGTAAGGAATACACTTTTCAAAAATTATCGTCGAAATAACGACAAATTTGTCGTTAAGTTTTTTTTTTAATGGGAAAAAACGTTACATAACGGCATTGGGTTGTTGAACAACATCGATTGTTCAGTAACAACAAGAGTTGTTCAAAGACGACAACAGTTGTTGAGGCGGGAAAAAAACAACTGTCCAATTACAGGAAAAGTTGTTCAGCAACAAAAAAATGTTCAGAAACAACAAATGCTGTTCAGCAGCAACGAAAGTTGTTCAGTAACAATGAACGTTGTTGAGGAACAGCAAAAGTTGCATTTTTTTAAAAATTTAGTTCGAGCTGAACTGAGTCTAACGCAAGACACGTGACATCACGCCCGCTCACTTGTGCCGGTCATGCGCACGAAGTCCAAGTTGTAAAGGTTCAGATTTCGCCTCACGCGGACTTGCGTTGAAATGTCATTCGTTCTAGAAAAATGTAGGCAAATTGATTGTGTGATTGATTTTCCCCCTAGAAACGTGCTTTTGACAATCAGTGGGTAAGAGCTCGGAGAGTCCGTCGCGGGTAACAGCAATAAAACCCTCCCGCCTGCCAGCGCGTGGTCGCCGCCGCACAATATTCTTTTTACTTCGTCAGCCTTCTAAGTAAGGCCGAGTTCACAAGGGCCCACCGGCCGAGCGCTATCTCTGGGCCCTCCTTTTCCTCCGCCCGTGAACCTTGGGTCATATGCATGATAAAGACAACTTCTAATATTTTGAGGAAAAAAACCTCTGCGAAACGTGCGAAACGAAAAGTACACTGTAAAATGCTTACAAACTAAATGATTTGAAACGTTACGAACATTTGTATTGCAAAGAAATTGTTTTATTGCAAAGCGATTGTTTGGAAGGCTAGGAAGGTTCTTACTGGCAATCGGTTTGCATTACGAATCCATTGTTCGTGAGCAATTTACAGGGTACTAGTTAAACCAATAGTTTCTTCCTAGTTGTCGAAATTGAAAAATATGTCAAAGAAATCGTAAGGATTACAGCAAAAATTAGAAAAGTGATTGAAGGGCCGTCAACTTTTGATTTTACGAATTGCAGACCACTCGCTTTTAATTCATATGATTAGACTGCGGTGTATTTTGTGTGACTACTTTGAATGACTAACAGGTGTAGGTGGCTTCACAATGAGTAGCCGAGAAATCTCACTGTTCAATTGACTTTGCATAGTACATCTGATGAATTTGAAACAACCAATTCACATCTAACTTTATTTACATGTCGACAATGTATTCCATCGGAATGTATGCCATTATCCGTAAAGAGAATATCTACAAATATTTAAACAATTTTAACATTATGTGGCCCTGAGAAAAAAGGTGTTGCAGTAAACAAGATTAACATCCATTTAACATTGAACCGAAAAGCTATACCATACATAAAGCACGTCATTCAAAACCACACCCCTAAACAAAACACAAAGAAAACCCAAACAAATCTTTTGTAATATTAGTAATTTATTCATGACAGATATCATTCAGCACTTTTCGAACGTTCACCTCGTTGCCGTTGCAAATGAATCGAAATACATCTTTGTGTGTTGGCACCTTTTTCTGGACCACAGCAGCACAACGTCCGGGCGATGGCCTCTGTGTTCACAAATGCCTTTGTAGGTTCAGGTCATATAATCAATTTTATTACTCAGTTTATGTATGATCTCTATACCTCTGAAATGTTCAAGGGTAACTCCAGGCAGTGGTGTCCGTAAGTAATGCGATTTGTGTGCGACTGACAGAGAGGCTACGGTTCATTTGTACCAAACGTAACTATTCGTCTTGATGTAGCGAGTGAAGAGTGTAGACATGTCTTGCAAAACGAAGAAACGCCTCTTGTTCGCTCACAAATCGCGTTCCGCACGCATTATTTTACTTTTTATTTTTCCTGGAATTGCCCTCTTACACTGCACATTTCGTAGGTGCAAAAACTTAACACGCATACTTCTTTTAGTTCCTATTACATTACATTAGGGCACGTCTCTGTGAGCAAATGAGGATTTGAACATTTATATTTGCGTAGTAAACTGCGACTGAGTTGCACACGCTGTGGTCCATAAAGTCCCGACTTGCATTCGCAACATCATTAAAATAAACATGGTTGGTTCTCCTGGGCACGGCTCTGCCCGCGGCGCTGTCCCTGCGGCGGTTGGCGCCAGTGATCTGCCACTCCGCGGTCGGACGAGGTCCGGCAAAGCTGTGACGAGCACGAACGAACATCCATTCGCATGCACAACGGACAGTACACAATGGTACATAGAACGCGGCGATGTTAAAACCCAAGCTGAAAAACTATTCGATCGAAACAAAGCATAATGGTTCTGAGGTTTGCCGAGTTCTGGCTCTGTGCCCTGCGGCTTGCCAAACTAATAATAACCCCTTCACTGTAAATTGCTTACGAACTATGGGTTCGTAATGCAAACCAAAACGTTCGTAGCTTACGAAGGATTTTGAAGCGTTGTATTACGAACTAATTGTTCGTAAGCATACGAACAAATAGTTCGTTATGCAAACCGATTGTTCGTAAGACCCGTCTAGCCTTACAAACAATCAATTTGCAATACGAACAATTTCTTTGCAATACAAAGAACGAAAATTGTTCGTAACGTTGCAAAGTATTTAGTTCGTAAGCTTTTTACAGTGTTGACTCCTCATTTCGATTGGGCTTCAAAATGCCCCTGACTCGCCGTCAGCAAGCAATCAACGGAGCAGATGGATTTGAAATGCCATTTAGAGAACGGCTGTGAACAAAAGTACCGACCCCCCTGACCTTGAAGCGGAAAACCGCGGCCAAAAGGTGAGCGTGCAGCCGTCAGGCACGACAGACCTTCCGTCAGAGAAGTATCGACAGGGATGTATCGGGCCAGTTCCGAGCTCTCCGGGGCGTCAGAGCCGTCACTCGAGAGAGAGAGTTCGATCTAGTCCGCGCTGGCCTCTACACGTGGCAAAACGTCCAGGTCGCACACATCAGTCGTCTCTGCTCTAGCAGAGAGGCGTATACTCGCGGAAACACCGCAAAGCACAATAACAACAAAAACATCACACGTTCGAGGAGTTGAAAGGCGGGGCCCTTTTTTCCTTTCTGTCGAGTCTTTGGGCGCACTCTTCCCGAGCCTCTGCCTCTGGTGTGGTTACGCGTGCCGCAGGGCTGCCAGGGCCACCAGGACCGCCAGGGCCACCACGGGGGGCAGCAGGGACGCGCGAGAGGTCCCCGCCGCGGCTGCCGCCGCCCCCGCCGCCCCCGCCGCTCCGGCCGCCCCCGCGCCGTCCTCCGCCGCGCTCTCAGCGCCCTCAGCCGCCTCCTCGGCGCCGTCCTCCGGCAGCGTGTCCTGGAGGTGCGCGTCAGACAGCTGTTGGTCTGCGTCCAGCTCGAGCGACTTGCGCCTCGGCAGCGTCAGCTCTGCGCAGCAATGGAAGGTAGATGTATAAGTAATAAATACTGAATAAATAAATAGAAAACGCCTAATAAGTTTCCTATGAGGTGACTGACAGTCACTGGGCTCACCGTAGAGACGGACGATGCCCTCTGCGTCGCCGATCGAGTTCTTGGAGATGCACTTGTAGGCGCCCAGGTCACTCTTGCGGAAGCGGCGCACCGTGAGCTTCATCAGGACGCCGTACGCCGACAGGGGGCTCTCGTCCATCTGGTACTTGTCGTTGTTGATGATCATCTCCCCTGGAAAAGAAGAGGGGCGTAGTTGGGGGGGGGGGGGGAAGTACTACCGACATGAACACTCAAGCGTGTGAATGTCGCCACTTGTACGAGCGAGCAACGCAATTCCTACACGTGTTGGAGGTAGAGTTGGCAATCGGTCGGTTACCACCCCGGCTCTCTTAAGTTTACGAATGTGCGCATTCACACACCTACAAGTGTCCGACACACTGTTAGATTCCTGCAAAGAATGCTTTGCAGAGCTGCGAAGGATTTTGATCTCTCGTAATTACGAAGCATTTTGCAATCACAAAGCGATGCTTATTTGCAATTGCGAAGCAATGCTAGCAATGCTTAACATGATGCAAAGCACCTTGCTTTGTATGAATTTAACAGTACATTCACACAGTGTGTGCACACACTTGCGTTTCCAGTGTGGATTTAACTATCAGAAGCTTCAGGGTGGTTACCCTTCTCTCTGGTCCAGTAGTTGATGGCCTTGGGGCAGGCCTCCACGATGCACTGGATGGTCACATCAGTTCCAGCGGGCGCACCCACCAGCTGGTTGGGCACCTGGATCAGCGGATGGACTGAAAGCCAAGTGAAAACCCCACTATTAGTCGTTTTATTCACTAAGACAAATTCTTGTTAGGGTTACAGGAAAATGTAAGGTGGGTGTGTATTGTAAAACAATAAAACTTAAAATTGTTACATTACTAGCACGAGCAGGAATGGGCTATCGTTAATTTACAACATATTCTGCTGTAAATCGTTAAATACGAAATAAGTCGTCAATAAGTGAATATTTTTTTTTTTTTAGTATTTTACCGTCCACAAAGCTCCAACTTCAATGAGGGTTATGACTTGGTGGGTATTCTATTAATTTTATTAATATTTTAGTAATTTTCTTCAAATGTAATATACAGGCGTCTAGCGCGCGAGCCACACAGTGCACTTTCGCACGCCGTCTGTCAGCTGCTGGGAAGCGTCTGCAAATGTGTGACCCCTTGCCTCGAGCTGGGCAGCTCAGCGAGCCGAAGACGAACGGGGCGGGTCGAGAGAGACAGCAGAGCTCAGCGAGTACTCACCGATCCTTGCTCATCTTTGAATTCGTGCGACAGACTCGCCTCGCTCCGGTGGCTGCCGTCCGTCGCCGCCTCTAGTCCGCGGCTCGCCTCGCCCATAATACTCCATTCTGGCTCGCCCGTGACCGGGACCTGATTTATCACCCCCTTTTGGATACGATCAACAAAGGGGCGGAGCTTCCAGCACGCCGCCGATGGTCTGCGATACGGTGGTATTGAAAAGTGTCCAACAAGTGGTCGGCGCTCCCGTAAATGTCGCGCGCAGCGTTTTCTTTCTCTTTTTTTAGCAGATGATACCTTAAATAGCTTTAGACTAAACATAAAACATATAAATATAAAACTTTAAGGTGTCAGCAGCTTGTACTCTCGAGAAGGGCAGAGAACCAAAGCGCATGGCGTCACCCAGATGTATAAGGGGCGCGAGAAGTCGCCAGCCCCGCCCGCCGCCCGTGCCC